TGTCTCTACTGCCCGTATTATCTAATTACTTATATCTTTTTTCACGTTTTTTGCAAATTTTTCGACCCGGCTATATAAACAGGGCAGCTGTTTAATTTAAATTTTCTGTCCTGTAACAATCTCTGTTAAAAAACGCGGCTTAAAAAAAAAGCAATTCAAACATACTTGGGCTCAACAACCCTTTTTAAAAAGAACCCTTTATGTTAAAAACCCGACAAACCCCAATTTATAAATACCTTGACCTTAAATGTTAAGTTTCGAAACTTTGCTTAATTTTTGCTTATTTTTGCTATTATCGGTTATACTTTTGTTTTTTTGTTTTGTTTTTTTTTTGTTAAATGGATTGTCTTCAAACTTAACATAACAATCTTCTAGGAAAGACCTTTAAGTGAAGTTAACCAGTCAGACTTTAACTTGTAAATGATCTTAACATTGAATGACAAATAAGTGAAATTGCATTTTTTGCTGTAACTAGCTATAACTTTGAATGGATTGACTTCATATAATGACAAAACATTCTCTAGGATCAGATATGTATGAATGTCAGACTCAAATTGACCTTGCCTCATTTCATTTTTTTGTGGAAAAAGAAACACGCACGCACACACACACACACGCGCGCGCGCGCGCGCACACACGCACACGCACACACACGCACACGCACACACACACACAAAAATTACATAATTTCTTGATAAAACATTTTAAAAATGTTGCTGTAATGTATTAATGGTTTCCGCATATAAAAAAGTTTGTTAAAAAACTGTAAAGAAGGCAGAAATCCAGTAATTACAATTGATTTTTAAAGATTTTCCTTTTATGTTTTGATTACATTTTTGCACTATACATGACATATTCTTAAAATATACTGATGAACACTTAAAACATTTAATTATTTTTTTTCCGTTAACTTATTAATGGTTTCCGCATATCAAACACTTCAAAGTCACTGTAAAGAAGGCAGAAATTCATTTGCTACAATTGATTAAAAAAAAATATTTCCTTCTATGTTTTAGTTACATTCTTTTGCACTTTACATGCCATTGTTTGTCCCCTTTTCCCCAGTTTAATTCTTGTATTATATTTATCGCTTTAAAATAAGATTGTTTCCATTCGGGCCAATTTAAAATTTCCCGGCCCCGAAACTCTCACAACTTTTTTGTCGGAGTCCTTTTAAAACACTGGTAAATTGTTCGAAATTTCGATGGTCCGTATTAGGCATCGACAAGACGCGCCCATTTCTCATCAGATATGGAAAATTGTTTACGTGAAAAGGCTTTGCTGTGATTACCCAGTGAGAGATGAAAGAATTCGAGACGAAGTTACTGAAAACTATTTAAGAAAAGGCAGTGAGTATTCACGAATGTCCAAAATGTAGTCCTTTTGCTGAGAGAGGAACAAGGCGGATCAAACGTGTTATTTGTCCAATGATGCACGCGGAAAAAGGGAAATTGTATGAATTATGCTGGTTCTGTCTGCGAACATGGTTAACAAGCGACACGAAAGATTGTGGAAATTTTGTATGCACGGGCAAAGATCCGCGTCTGCGCCATTATTGAAAATTGTGTCCCTAAGAAAAATGGTTGTAGAGGCGTCCCAAAACTGCCCAGCTATACGTGCCTGTCCGACATGCGGTCTACTTATTCAGCATAAAGAGCAGTGCAAACAAATGCAGTGCCCATGTGGTCAGAAGTTTTGTTTTATCTGTCTGGAAAAAGGCCAACACGGCAGGAAGATATCAGTGCGGGCCTGGAATTTCAAGTGTACAGTGGCGCCTGTTCAAACCGCTATTCCCGGAAAAAAACACTGAAGCAGTTTGCAAGGACATTTCAATTTAGTAGTTTATTTTAAAACGCAAATGACTTTAATTTCCTCAAAACTACATTGAGTATGTTCCTTTAGTAAACATGCATAATTACATGTTCTGTTGTACATGTTCTACTTGTTACTTCGTTCGTTAATGGTTTGTTTTTAAACTTTTTTTCTGTTATTTGACTTTTGCTTTGGTAATTTTGCTCGTTTTCTTTTTAAAAGCTTTAGGTGTAAAATATGCTTGTTTTAAAATAAATTTGAATGTTGAAAATTTCCGTTTGAATGACTTTTGGTCATGTTATGGTCCTTTAATAAAAAGGTGTTATGTTCAGGTGTTGCCAGCTACACAAAAGTTTGCCCGGGTTACTCCTCAGAAACTATTGTTGCAATTTCATTCAAACTTTACGGGAATGATAAGTACCAAGTCTAGTTGTGCATATCATCGGCTTTTCTACCGGTTCAATGATATTTGTCAGAGCTATGGTATTTTAATGAGTGTTTTATCTTTTAATTTGTCCGCATTGATTTTCTTATATCACTCATTTTATTTCAGTGAAACTTTACAGGATTGATCGGTACGTCAAGTACTTGGCATTACCCCCGGGTTTTTCTACTGCTAGACTGAGCTAACATCAATTGGCTTTTCAAGAGGCGACAACCCTATTTATCACTTATTTAAACAAAAACAAAAATACCCCAGGGTAATACCCTTCTAAATTTGGCCCCAAAAACTGGCGGGTATAATATTTCACTTCAACAATGAGGAAAACCCTAAGACCATTTTACCCAATTTTTTAAATGTTAAAAAATACCCGTTACCCATGTAAACAGTTTCAAAATTCTTAATCCCCGTTTTTTCACTTTAAATTTAAAAGTAAAAAAAACTTCCAGAGGCCTATTGGGAAAAATTTGCCCTTACGAAAAAAACAGGGGTAATAAAATCGGAATAAAGGGACCATTGACTTTACCTTTTTGGGTAACAGTAAAAACTTACGTGAGGTTAATCTGTCAAAAAATAATAGTAATTTGTAAAAAACAACAACAAAAATATCTCCTAATTTAAGTTTGCAAATTTGAAAAATAACGTATTTATTTATTTATCTTTAATTGTTATAAAATATCAGTCAGAATTCATATTAAATAAATTTTGTGCTCTTCTGTACATGTCTTTTTGCTGATATTTTGTACCCATTGCTAAGGAACAAAATAAAAATATTGAAGTTTGTATTATATTATCACCTGGTTGTAGTTTGTCATCTCTTAAACATAGAGCACATTCTTAAAATAGAATGAGCTCTTACTAGGCCTAGACGCCGACATTGAATTTAGAGGCGTTCAACCTAAAGCATGTAATAACGTACATGTATTATTCCATCGCTTTATACAAATCTCTAATATTAACAAATAAAAAAGCTATATGAGGACGCAAATGTAAGAAAATGAAAATATTTAGACTTTGCTAGTTGAATTAACTTTCGATTATTTTATTTTGTTTGTCTTCTTTCTTATTGTTTTATTTGTTTTGTTATTCCTTAAGGGCCCAGTTACACAGACGGTCGGACCCCAATCGGTCATTTAATTTTAAATTTACTCGCTATTATGATCGGTTGTCATGCGTGATTTTATTTCAGGTTTTCTGTGTAAACGGCCATCGGTGACAGAAAGCAAACTCAAAAACGGGAAATGGTTCGATGATTAAATGCCGGAATACTTTTGGTTTTTATCGTTTGTAAATCGGAGCTTAATCGGGCGTAACGCTGGACCTGAGTGAAGTTCCTAACTTCCAAATAAACTCAAACAACTGTAAAAACTGTATTTTTGTTAACTTTATAAATTAAAAATGAATAACTTAACGATGCAACTTCATAAAATGAAATCTCCGTGCGTGAAGAGTAATAAAACCGACTTGATTTACTATCCATTTTATTAATTTTTTCAATTACTAAAAACTTTAGGGTAAAAATTTTTAAATGGGAAGGGTATTTAACAACCAACACAAAAGAGAAACGGGGTAAAATGGGTTGGGAAATTTTTTTTTTTTTATACAATATATTTTTTACCCTTCTATAAACCAAAATTAAAAACCCCGGAAAAATTTCCCTTAAAAAAAATTTTTCAGAAATATACTGATTTGGCATTGGCTGGATCAAAATAAACCGGAAATCGGGTATTTTTTTCGATTTTCCGTTTTTAATACGGGACGGGTTTTCAGGTTTAGCTGTACCCAAAAACAAAAGGGGACAACCTAAAAACAAATTATAAAAATATTGGGTTTAACATTAAAAATACGCTTTAAAATGTCCGCCCCCAAAAGTCCAAAAAAAGTTGGAAATTTTCCCCTTTAAAGTAAATGTTAAGAAGGCCCTCATCAATATTTGAAAGGCTGCATTGATTAGTTCAGGTGGAACAAAGAATATGTCAAAACACAAAATGACGGATAAATCCGTGTCAAAATTTATCCGGCCATTCAATCTCCTATTTCTAACACTGGTAAAAACTACTTTCAGGTCGGCAGTAGTTTGTATTAGACCAAACATTTACTTGTAATTTTTTAAACACATATAGACCATTCTTAATATTATACAGCTATTTTTAGAACATGAACCAGAACGAGGCATAACTGGCAAGCTGATAAGCCAGTATAAGCTGTGTATACAATGAAATCGACTTATCTTTGGCTCCTAAAATTAATTTCTCATTTATAGAGTTATATATTAATCAAGACAAAGTTAATTTCTCTATAAAGAATTCAATATATTTATGAGGTATCCATTTATGGTTTAAGAGGTGAGTAAGAGAAGAGATTTTTTTTTACTTTCGGTTTCAATTTTGCTGTCATAAAGATATTTCCTAACATAATATAAGGTTTATAGATATAAATATGTGGTGTCTTGTATTATATAATCTTTGTTGTTCTGTTATTTATGGATTCTTGATGCCAACATAAAGGTAATTGCAAATTGAATCTTACAGATAAGCCCCTAATGACCTGTGGTAAATCTTTATCAGATGTGTATTGGGTGGATTATATCAAACATTTATTGACTCAGTTATAAAGACCGTTTACTATAGTTTCTGCCTAGCCAAATTCTATGTATACATGTACTTTATGAATTTTAATTTGTACTTCCAATACTACCATTGCGCAATATAATTAAGGGAAATGCCATAGATTACAGAGAAAGAATGAATTTTCTTATTTATTTCAAAATTTTAATAAAGACTAAACTTTAATACTCCCTAATATTATATTGTTTTTATTATCCTTTTTTTTATTGAAAACCAATTTAAATATACATATAAAAACCATCACATCATCACCAGTTTCAAAAAGTTCAATTAGATCTCAACATCTGACATGCATCCATGTAACAATGACACAAATGCGAACGTGTGCATGTTCCTTTGTAATTTCAATACAAACTCAGCTGAGTTGCAGGGTCTTTACATCTTTTTGGTCTCCTCCAGTTCAAGCCTCATGAAGCATTTAAATATATATTTCTTCCTGTGTTTCTGTAGACCCATAAGATGTAGATGGTTGGCAATTGGTACTTGTTGCATTATCTTCTTCATCTTCATTATAGACAATGCTGAAAGATAATTATATATTTTACCAAAACATATTATTTATTCAATATCAGTGAGAATTTAAATGATTTTTTTCTATATTAAAAGCAAATACATTTATTAAACATAAATAAGCATTATATTATATGTTTTTAAATGAAATGATGAATATGTGTGTTAAATCAGTGACTTTATCATAAAAATTACCTATCAATGAGCATTTTCTTTGGTGAAAGAATTTTTCATAAAAGTGGCCTTCTTAATTGGAGTTGTTTGTTCAACCAAATTAATCACTGGTGGAATAGAACCATTTTTAAGTGGAGTCCAGTTGTAATCCTCAGTTTAAAATGTTTGGAACACACCACAGTAGATTCAGTGACCTAAAATATACAACATATATTTATAATAAGGAGTGATATGGTAACTACATGTATTAGTCAGCTTCAATCCTCTATTTGTAACATATATTTGAACTGATAATAATTTACAATTTACAAGTTTAAATTGTTATAACTGTTAGATTAAAAGCAAGCAGTTCTCCCATTATTTTATTCTAATTATACAAAATCTGTATTTTTACAAAAATATTATTCTGTTCATAAAGTGGTCAAAGTTTACAAAATATTATTTTAGGTGCTTACCTTTTACAATGACCTTTTATCCCTTCTTATCTTAGAAAGTTAAGTCATCCATAATTTGTTGTGTGTTTTTTTAATCTTTATCCTTTGGAATATGGTAAATTATATTTACCATCAGAATAGCACATTGGCACACAAAAATGATAATAAGAACTTTTCTTTATTAACACCCGACATCGTGGCTATATAGTGAGATAAGAGTGGTCAGTGTGTTTACATTCGTGCCATTTAAACCTGGTTCTGGTTCTGGAATTCCAGGTATGCATATAATTTGAGAAGGGTCTATTGTGAACACATAAATCCAACAAATTTATTGATTTTCCAAGATGTAGTTTGCTAACTAAATAAATGTGACTGCGCGAAGTTGTAGCTAAACACCGTTTCCCGTTACGTTACGGATTACGACACCACAACATCATGACATGATATTTATATTTTTATTGTAATTTTACCGTTTAAGATAGAAAAAACATGATTTGTTAGAAAATTTTCAATGTTCCAATACTTTCTCAGCGTATATATTCAAATTCTACAAAAATTTGATTTTATTATAAAGATCTTATAATTTAGAACAGTTGACTTGTAGACAGTACTAGACTCCTGTCATAATAAATAGTGATGTTTTAATTATTTTCTGTGTTAACTTTTCGTAGTATTTACATAATTATATTTTTGCATTGAATTATTTCTCTACAAAGCTTTTTAATTTTTTTTTCAAAATAATTGTTTTATCTAAAAAAGGGACCATCATGTCATTTTCAAAATATTACCTCAAATGTACTAATTAAGGTACCTATGCACCTGCTCTGTATTATATATCATCATTAACAAAGTCAAAATCTAAAACAGATATAAGAAAGATTCAATAATATTTCACCAGGGCAGCTATGAAATGTAAATAGTACTTTTAATAAGTACATCCTAACAATGAAGCATCATTGTACTGTATCGTCAATACGTATTGTGTATCGTTGGTCTGTATCGCAATGCGTATCGTATCGGAAATTTCTGATCAATACCCAGCCCTAGTAGGCATACCATTATTAAGTTCTTCAAGTCAGTTTTAACATGATGCACTGACAAAGTTCAATACGTGTTACAACACGAGAAGCAAACGACGTATACACCGCGACCCCTCCAGCGAGCCCCTCTGTAGAGTAAAAGCCTCTACAACAACAGTTTCAGTTTTTTCTCCTACTTCTGAAGCAAGAACAAAACGCTTTCTTTTACTTGGGGACAATACCATCGCTTTTCATGGACTGGCACGAAAGTGTCGCATGGAACATCCCATGAAAACTATCGTATGAACGTATCTGGGGATGTTTAAAAAAAGATTTCACAATTTTCATGTTTAAATGTTGAATTCTGCTTAAGCTGGTGCCAGGGGGCGTGGACGGTAGTTTGCATTAGACAGTACAGTCCATGAACAGGCACAGTCAAACGGAACCTGCAACATTTTAAATTTTGTTTGTTATTTGAACTTTTTTATGGTTTTTTACTCTTCTTAATCTCCCAAATTGTGTTTATTGCAGATACTTTACTGTATCTGTATTTATTACACTTTGCATGTAAAGGCCAGTCAAAAGCAGTTTAAACCAGTATGCCTTCAGATTCATGATATTTTTTTGAAATTTTTGAAAATGTATTTAAAAGCATAACATTGTGAAGTAACCAAAAGGAGGAAATTAACACGTTATCAATGGCATATGCAACCCAAGTTAATTACCAAAATGAGATTAAGATATGCAAAAATAACCATTACTGCGTTAGTAACGCAGTATAAATATTGTTATAAAAACTGAAGAAAGAAACACAATCATTTAAAGCACAAAACATGTAAACATGTAAAACATGTTTTCTAAGTGTCGTCCCTCCTTTTCTTATTACAATGAAATTGGATTGTTATCCATCGCTGGTTTTTTTTTAGCAGAGAATAACCTGTGCATGTGCAAATAGGGTACCGTTTCAGCATTCGCAAAGAGGGTACCGATATGGATATGCACCGTGTAATTGTTTACTTGGTGAAACATACGACCACCTATTACATAATAGTGGGGCGGGAAATTGAGAAAATAGTGCAAATTGTGATACAAGCATGAAACTTTCAGGAAATCATCTTTAGACCATGTAGATTTCAAAAGTGAAGTGGGCCCAAAAATATCTCTGCTCATTCAAGATGGCCGCCATTTTCAAAATGGCCGCCATATAAATTTGAGTACATTCTAGCTCATTCATTCCAATTTTTTGTACAAACCTTTAACTCACACCAAAAGCATGCATATGATTTCTCCTTTTCAAAAATTTAAATCTCACAAAATTTCTCTTTCATACTTCTTCCAAATCCAAGATGGCGTCCAATATGGCCGTCGATTTTGTGCAAAACTGTTATATCAGTTTTATAGTATAATAATATAATATAGTATAATTTTTGCACAAATTATGTTTATTATGATAAAAAAAGTGTTTAAACATATCAGAGATAATCAAATTATATGTAAATCTCAATAAAAGTAAACATTTAAAAAGTTTTTGTCTAAAAAAATCTTTAAAAAAGATCAAGAAAAAATTCCATTTTTTCCATATTTTTCAAATTTGATTTTCTAAAGTAATGTACAAAGTTAAAACAGTTACTTTATATCTTAAACTGTATTTGACATTCCATTAATATCATGTGTTTATTGTAAAGAATGTAAGAAAAGCATTAAATCTGTAGGTTTTATATTTTGTGAAAGTGGGTGGGGTAATTTTATATGATAATTGTGAAAGAAAAAAACAACAGAAAATCTACATAGCTAAGTTCATTCTATTTCTTTGCCTTTTTACTTTTCTATGAATTCTTATGCAAATGTTCCAACTTAAAAAGTACTTTTTATTGGATGAAAGTATTTTTGTCTTCCTTCTGGCCATTTGGTGGGTGAGCAAGAAATGCACATACAAACATGCGTCTACATTTAGTTATTAAATTTGGTTGCATGATAATTCTTGTTTCAATATATTTGATATCATATATTAATTGTTCATCGTAAAGACATATAAAAAGAAAATAAATCAACTAAACGTGCTTAAAATAGCAAACATGTACTTGAATGTAAGGTATAAAGGTAGTCTATAAAAGCATATTTTTGACTCCTCCACAATTTTATATTTATATAATATAAACATGGTTTAAAAGCCAACAAAATGTATGTGATGTAAAACATATATATCAATGATATGGCCTGGCCTTTTTGAAAAGTTAAGATACAAACTAAGTGAACTAGTATTTCCTAAAGTAATCATATCTTATTTTTTTCTTTCAATAAGAGGGTAATGATGACCCTGAATCACTCACCTAAGATCATTGTTGGAAAAAAAGGTAACAAGATCATTTTGGGAGTGTCAATTATTTCATAACACACATGATTTTTGTCATAATTGAATCCGGTTGCTTTTAAAGAAACAAGCTCAATATCTGCTTTCAATTTTTTATTTCACACGAGAGAACTTTAATAACCATATCTATATACGAGTCCATATAAACTTAATGACCTTTTGTGTTTGGTAAATTTGGACCATGTTGTCCATGATATATCATTATTATAACATAATTATGATGATACATGATTAATGTATATGCGTCGGATACTGTAGGTTAAGAGAAAACAGATTTATTACAGTAGTCTTTGTAAATTAAGTGATACCATTGCAAAACCACTTAAGACTGCAGTAGCATCATACAAATTTATGCATGTTATATCAGTCTACATCCCAAATATCTTATTTCAAGTCAATGTAGTTTAACACTAGATGTTTTTAATGTGTTTTCCTATACAAGTCTGTGAACCCAGGTGGCTCTATGAACATGATTCATTAAATGTGTTAATAAAGACCCAAGGTGGTGCTACATGCCAGCTTAGTACCAGTGCTCTATGCATTTTGATTTTTGAGAAGATTTTTTTATTGCATGTACACTTAATGATACAAAAGTGTTTTATGTAACTTTTAAAGAGGTCTTCTTTACTTGGCAAGGTTCTATTTTGACTATCTAAGCTCTAGGCATTACAGTTTGTTTGTTTGTTGATTTTTTTAATTAACATCAACAACAAAACAACTTCAATGCGATTCCCTACACAAGTCTTTAAAAACTATGTTCCTCGTGAGGGCCTTTAAGTCATGTTCCTGCAGTCCAAAATGGCTTTCCCTGTCACTTAGTTTACATTGACTTATATATTTAAATTCTTCTCCGAAACTATGTGCACAGAGAAGAGAAAATATCGTATATCATAACATTGTGATGTTATATAAAGATTATAAACTATTGGCATAGGGTCAAAATCACTTAGTTTACATGGACTCTTATTGGAATATAGTTATATGAGTCTTCTTGTAGTTCTGAGAGCCTAGTTATTGGACATGATTCTTTAAATCATGACTGGTGAAAAAAAGACACTCCTTATATAATTTTAGCATTCTTCAGTTTAAAAGAATTATAGACCTTTTTACAGCAGTGGGTCATAGGCGCGTGATCTAGGGTCAACAATGCTCTCTTGTTTTATGGGAAAAATAAATTAGGAATACATTTAGTTTATATTCCAAAGTATAAGCTATGTTTGCTATGTGGGTCAAGCGGTTTTATTGATACCTATTTTAGCACACCTAGTCATTAGATAATATGATGTATCAGTCGCCTAAAGTTTTGTTTCTTTTGAAAATATCATGTCTACATAAGTTATTAGAAATGGACGGTACTTATTCAATTATACTTGGTTACAATGATGTGCAAGTAAATATAACTTTGAATCATTCTGTTACAAGCTTTTAGCAAGACTTAATTGTGCAGGAAATAATTGTATTCATAGATAGACAACATTTCACTAAGGTAAAGGCATGATTTTATCTAACATATGGTTCGTTGTTGAATATTCAGTCTTCTTTCTGTACAATTATCAAGTTATATTATGACTATTGAAACAACTTTATATCATGCAAACACATTTAATAACTGAATGTATACATATGATTGTATCTGCATTTATTGATATTTTAGTACACCTTCTAGACCTGAAGGAAAACAAAAATACCTTAATACAATAAAATACTTTTACAGTGAATATTTGTATAAGAATTCTTATAAAACGTTATTTTGTACTACAATTGTCTGATAAATTTACCCCACCCACTTTTAATAAGTATAAAACCTTCACATTTTTGTTTGTTTTTGTTACAATTATACAATAAAACATAGTGTTGACTGAATATCAAATACACTTTAAGAAACTATGTAACTTTTGGAATTTTGTACATAGACCTAGAAAACCATGTTAGAGAAAAATGAAAAAATGGCACTTTTTCTTTGATTTTTTTAAAGATTTGTTTTGTACAAAAACTAAAAACATGACTAACAATGTGGTTAACCTAAAATTTGATTTTTTTCTAATATATTTCACAATTTTATTTGGAAATACGCATACCGTGTGCAAAAAATTATACTACAAAAGAGATATATCAGTTTTCATTAAAATTGGCAGCCATATTGGACGCCATCTTGGATTCTTAAGAAATATGCAAGAGAAGTTGCTTAAAGATTTAAATTTTTGAAAAGGGGAAACTATATGCATGCTTTGGTGTAAGTTTCAGGTCTGTACAAAAAATTGGAATGAATGATCTATTATATACATCAAATTTATATGGCGGCCATCTTGAAAATGGCGGCCATCTTGAATGAGCAGAGATATTTTTGGGCCCACTTCACTTTTGAAATCTATATGGTCTAAAGATAATTTCCTGAAAGTTTCATGCTTGTATCACAATTTGCACTATTTTGACAGCAGAGACCTTATTTCCCGCCCCACTAAAATGCTATATTGAGAAGGAACAGAAAATGTGCACTATAATAATACTAATAATAATAATAATAATAATATAATAATAATAATAATAAGTATAACGTTGAAAAAGCTTTTTACCCTAGGAATACACACATAAAGTCTCATTTTGGCATTATGTTAGAGAAGAATTCATTGAAAAGAGTAATTTTGAAGTCATTAG